CCGGCGCCAAAGAAACCACCCACCCCTGAGAGCGAGGGTGTGTGTGTGTGTCTGAACGTGTCAAACCACGGGGGTGGGGGTGGGGGTGGGGATTTCCGCGGCCCCCGGGCCTGGCTCCCGCTCCGGTGGCTGACGAGGGGAAGGGGGGTTCCAGAGCAATAGGGAGGGGGCAGCCTTTCCGGCCATCCTCCTCCTCGGCTCCCCCGGGGAGGCCCTCTGGAGGAGCGGGACGACCGCCCCCATCATCCCCTCCGGCCGCCTGGCTCGTGGGGTGGGGGCTGTAACCCGTCCCCTCGCAGAAGGCTGGGATTCCCATCCTGGGGGGGGAGCGGAAGGCCGAGGGCCTGGAGGAGGCCAGGAGACACATGGCCTCCAGGCTTGCAGACCCCCGCCCCCACCCCATCGGGGGCCGAGGCAGGGGCCTCCCCGGCCGCTTTCCGTGGACAGATCCGTTCAGGACCTTGGACAGCGGCCGCAAGTACCGAGTCCGGCGGGTGACGGTAGCCAGGCCGGAGGAGGAGGGTGCCCCCCCACAGACCGCTGGCCCCCAAAAGGCAGCCAGCTTTGCAAGGGAGAGTTGAGAAGTGAAGGCTGAAGGGAAGGCCGATCCAGTGGCCGTGAGTTCCAGGGTCAGCTTCCACTCCGTGCCCCTTCACTGGGGGGAGGGAGCTGAGGGCCCCTGGGTCCACCCTGAACCTCCTTCCACTCTGCTTTGATGGACGACCCCAGCGGGGTCCTCGTGGGGTGGGTGGGAGAGATAAAAAAAGATAACTCCCCCTCCCTCTGTGGTCTCCATGCCAGGCTGAGGTTTCTACACCTCCCCCCCCCCCGTGTTTTCTAAGCTCCAACAGTGCGTCACCTTCTTTTATGTAGGGTGTTGCTCCCAACCTATGATCCTTTGTGTGTGGGGGTTCTGTCTTCTGAAAAAGAGTGTGTGGAACCTCTGGGGGGGGCTTCGATCACAGCAACAGGGTCTTAAATACTACTAAGGATGGAGGGTGTGGGGGTGGCGGGGCAGGCCTGGGATTGCAAAGAGGGGTGCAGGGCTTCTTTTACGACCAGAGCTAGCTAAAAGACAGTCCCCCCCTCCCTCCGGGAAACCTTATGGCCAGCTAAGATCAGCCCCAAAGGGGGCTGTTTGGATTCTGGACCAGCTCAGGGGTTCAAGAGCTGCTATTTCAAAGGTCACTTCCTGGAGGAAATAAGCCACAATTCTTGGCCAGGTGAAAGCAGCTGGTTGGGAAATTACTTTTTAAAATTAATTTTATTCCTCATTGGCGTGTTTGCAAAGTAACCTTTGCAGTGTCTGGGGAAGTAACTCCTCCCCTTACTGATGATCATCCTGCGGGTTCCTTTTCTGGATGGGTGGGTAGCAGGAGAGAAAACCAGCCGGTGTAAAACTTGGGAAATTCCCGGAAGATTGCCTCTAAAGCATCCTTTGAAAGCAACCTTTGAAAATCCCTAGAAACAGTTACCCACTTCACCAACCAAGTAACTTCTGTCTGCCTTCCTCGACTCGTTACATCTGGGGAAAAAAAAAGCTTGTGAAACACACACACACACACACACACCGCTTTTCAACCCAGAAATGTAACTGGTTACAGGGGTAACTGTGTGGCTGTATCTAACTACAATTAAGCTCTGGGTAAAAATAACAGCTCCATGGTAATTAATATTTTTGAGTTACTTCTAAAACCCTTTGCTCCCTTTCTGTGGTCCCTGCTCTACATGATCACTCATTTTCCTTTGGGGAATAAAAGGGGGGGAGTATTTTAATGGGCACCCAGCAATAACTGCCTTGATTCGAGAAGGCCACGCTGTTGATTTCCATCTAAATGTTCCCGGCATGGGGTGAACGCTCCTGAAACTTTTAGCAACTGATTGCGAGCTGTTTTCTATAATTAATTGATGGGTGGCTGGAAGGGAAGTCAGAACCAGCCAGGGCGGCCTGTCTCTCCGCAGGCGACATGAGGAGGCTGGGTTCATGAATCCCAGCGCCCCATTGCGCCCCACAGCACACAGACCGATGTCCTGGCTCTGTCTCCTGGGGTCAGGGAGCCTCTGATCAAAGCATGCATCCCTCAGAGGAGCTGTTAGCGCCGCAGCTAACGAGACCTGGATAACATCACTTTCTCCGTCTCTTCTGCTCCCTCAGGGGTGTCTGTCTGTGTGTGTTGGTTTGGCAGCCTGGGAGATCTGCTGGGAGGTGCGTGTTTTCCACAGCACCTGTTCGCTAGATCGACGGACCCACAGCGCTGGGTTCCGCCCCCCCCCCAGCAGCCACCTGGTTGGCTTTTCAGCCGGGCCCAATTTTGGGTGCCTCCTTTCCAAAGCTGCGGAGTTCACACATAAACCCTGGGGGAGACCTCCAGCCTGGGAATACAGGCCCTCCGGGGCTGCCTGGAGAGATCTCAGCCCGGCTTTGGGGGGGGGGTAGACCCAATTTGGGGCAAACGGATGCTTCCCCCCCCCTCCAAGCAACTGGTTTTGGGATCCAAAAACCTCTTACCCTGGAGAGGTTTCTCCTCGTGGTTTGATAATCTCGGTGTCTCCCTGGGGTGGTTCTGTAGCCCTTCCAAGTTCTGACAACGGGGAAGCTGCATCAGCAACTCTGCCGTTCACACTGTGATCACGTAACGGGGCAACCACAGACCCTCGTCCTGGATCATTGACTCCAGGTCATCATAATCCTCATCACCCTCTTAATCGAACTCCCAACCTCGGGCTCCATAGCCAGAGACCCTAAATCACAGAGGTCTTCCGTGAAAGCATAGCACAATGATCGCTCCTTGCGTGTGTTCCCCCAAAAAATAATGTCGTGGCTCCCTTTTTTGACTCCCAGGAGGAGCTTTCGCATTGTAACTTGCGACACGGGGTGTCTGAATGGTAGGTCGGGAAGAGCGAGTCACTTGGGCCAACACGGAAAAGCCCCTGGCCCAGTCTAAAGCCACTTTCCACGGCCATCCACGCTCCGTGGTGGCTTTCCACTTTCACCTCCCTCCCTGTCAACGGCCAGCCTTCCTGACCGCAGGCCCTGCAGATGGCTGAGTCTGATCCGGAGGGCCAACGGCCGAAGGCCACCGCGCTTACAAGGACTAGGAGGTTAATTCAGGGAGAAGAACCACGGGGACGTCCGTCATCCTTGGGGCGAGGGGCCTTTTTTTCCTGAGTTTCCACATTGCCAAGGACAGGGAGATGCTCCGAGCGGTCGTCCAGAACATGGACTTTCCCTTTCCATTGAGTAGGAAAGAGAGAGAGGAGGGTGGGGGATCTCCCTCCGCCAGCTCCTCTTCTGGATGGTCCTCCAAGCCCTTGGGCGGGGGGGGGGACACATGCCTTCTGCGAAAGCCCCTCCCACCAGCAACCCCCTCTTGCCATCAGAGTGCTCCGGCTGGCGAGACCAGGATGGCCAGATGGGTGCCTGGCGGTGGTGTCCAGAAATAGAACAGGCTGATCCTATTATGGGATGCCTCCACCTGGGGCGGCAAAGCAAAGGTTCTCATCCTCTTGCTTTCACCAAGGCCAGGTATGTGCGCATGTGGGGTGTGTGTGTGTGTGTGTGTGTGTGTGTGTGTGTGTGTGTGTGTGTACATGCATGTACATGCATTTGGGAGATGTTTGGAGAAGGTGGCTAGAGCCAGAGCGTTCGGGGCCGACCCGGAGGGTCTCGGGGCGACGGGTCAGTCCTGAAGGTGGGGTTTTCAACAGGCTTTTCCGAGAAGTGTGTTCCAGGAAGAAGGGAAGAGAGATTATTCCCAGAGTCTCAATCCTAACCCTGGGAAAGCCCAAAACCCAGGAAATCAATTTTCAAAAAGTTCTTTTATTTAAAAAAGCAAAACAATTCCTGTTGCTTCTTCCAGCGTTTTGGAAATAATTCATTGCCTTCATCCATTACCATTTTAAAGAATGCAACTAGTTTTCTTGCTTGTCTGTTATTCTTCTTGGGGGGGGGCAGACACAGGATCCATTAGAGAATAACAAAAAGAGTGGAGGGGGAATCCTACCAACAGGCCTCTTAAAAATCTTCTTTAAAAAGGGAACTAGGACTCCTACGTTTGCTGATATAACTTAATTCATGCTTTGGGTCCCATGGCTTTTTGGGAATATGACCTTATGACACATTGATTCCCCAAGAGGGGAAGTAACTCATGACGGATAACTAAGTTGCTGGTAGTTAATTACTTCTGTGATCTGAGCCAGGGAACAGAGAGGGAGAGCAGCCCTCTTGGCCTTTAAGCACGGATGGGGTGGGGGCTGGAACCCGAATCTTTCTCCGGGGGTCTGTCGAACCCTCTCACCTCTCACCTCTGAGGGAGAGCAGCCCTCTTGGCCTTTAAGCGCGGATGGGGTGGGGGCTGGAACCTGAATCTTTCTCTGGGGGTCTGTCAAACCCCCCCCCACACACACACACAGAGACTCTCGGTGGGCAGAAAACCCGTCTTGGCCATCACTAGTGGGTGGAAGAGAGGAAATCCGTGTGATTTGGGCTAGGAGAATGTCGCGTGGCTCGACCCTCCTCGACTCCCCCTTCTCTCTTTCTCTCTCTCTCATTCCCAGGTGTGGTCGCCGCCCCCTCTCCCCTCCCGGACGCCTCCAAGATGCCGGAGCAAAGCAACGACTACCGCGTGGTGGTGTTCGGTGCGGGCGGCGTTGGCAAGAGCTCTCTAGTGTTGCGCTTCGTCAAGGGCACCTTCCGGGACACCTACATCCCCACCATCGAGGACACCTACCGGCAGGTGATCAGCTGCGACAAGAGCGTCTGCACCCTGCAGATCACGGACACCACGGGCAGCCACCAGTTCCCGGCCATGCAGCGCCTCTCCATCTCCAAAGGCCACGCCTTCATCCTGGTCTTCTCCATCACCAGCAAGCAGTCGCTGGAGGAGCTGAAGCCCATCTACCAGCAGATCGTCCAGATCAAAGGCAACGTGGAGAGCATCCCCATCATGCTGGTGGCCAACAAGTGCGACGAGACCCAGCGGGAGGTGGAGACCAAAGAGGGGGAGGCGGTGGCCAAGGAGTGGAAGTGCGCCTTCATGGAGACCTCGGCCAAGATGAACTACAACGTCAAGGAGCTCTTCCAGGAGCTGCTCAACCTGGAGAAGCGGCGGAACATGAGCCTCAACATCGACGGGAAGCGCTCCAACAAACAGAAGCGGACAGACAAGATCAAGGGGAAGTGTAGCCTGATGTGAGGTGGGGAGGGAGGCTGGCGTGCCTCCTTCCCCTCCGCCCCACTCGCCGCCGCTGTCCCCCCTCCCTCATCCGTGGGTGCCCAGAGGTGGTCCCGGACCTCTCCTGCCCCTCTCGCCCGGCCCCCTTCTGGCATCTCGGCCCGGCCGCGGCCTTACGAACGCTCCCTACCCCACTGCCTGGGCCTTCAGATCGAGGCCTCTCACTCACCACCTTCTCTGCGTCTCTCAGCTCCCTCAGCCCAACCCGAAAGGGGGGGAACACCATATTTGAACGAGAGAGGCGCTCTCCCCACCACCTGTCCCCTCTGGTGTGTGACCCTCCAATGCTCCCAGTCAACAACCGCAGACCTTTTCGGGGTGGGGTGGAGGGAGAGATGGAGCGCCAGCACCATTGAGAAGGGCTCCTCTGAGGCAGGCCCCCGAACTCAGGCCATGCCAGCGGACCGGAGGGCCCAGCCCAGCTTGGAGAACAGCGTCTCCTGGATTGGATCCAAAAGCCAGGCAGGAGGAGAGATGCTGCAAATGTTTCCCGGGCATCCGGGTCGGCATCCCGGGCCTCACCAGGGGAGCAGCACCGCTTCCTCTCGCCTTCTGCTTCTAAAGGCCACAATGACTGGAAAGCCTCCCGAAAGACGTCCGGGATCTTCTTGCCAGAAAAGAGGCTGGGCAGGCCAACTGCGGGACTCTGCTTCTCCAGACGCTGCAACTCTGCCAAGGGTCTGCAGCACACACTCTGCACGAGAGGCGTGGGCGCCGACCGACCCAGAGCCAAGCCGTTGCCACCGCCACCATGGAAGATGGGATGGGGGAATCCTGTGGCTGGACCCAGCATCCTGCACACTCAAAGGAAACCGTGTGGCGGGCCTGGGCCTTCCGCTGCCATCGCTCTTTTCAGGACAGAGGCACCAATGGGCACTTCGGTTTCTGGCCGTGTGACCGGTGGCCACCCCCCATCTTGGGCCAGGACTGTGCCCCCATGCAGCCGTGGGATATTGCAGATCTCAGGGGCTCCATGCAAAAGAAAAGAAGGTCCAGGAATGAGCCTTATGGCCAGACGTGGGCAAGAGGAAAGATCTTATGGGGGGTGGTGGGCGATGGAGGATGGGAAGGCCCCCCCAACCCTTTCCAAGCTTTCCAGATCCTGCCAAGCAAGACTCTGCATGTCTTGGCCTCCAGACACCTTGGGTGCACCCAGCAGCCTAACAGGATTGGGTCCGAGTGGCCAGGGGAGCAGCACGAGGAACCCGAAAGCCGGATGGCGGGACAGGCCGGCCAGCACACCCTTCCATCCCTGGGTCTCTCTTCCCTGGCTTCGACCCCAACACTCCCCAGCCTGCCAACCCTCGGCATGCCAGACTTTGAACGTTCCCACTGATTCGTGAGATGACGGATCTGTGTTTAATTTTTAGTCTAAAGGTTTAATTTTTAAAGCAACAAGACAACCACCACCAAACAGAAGAGCACACCTCTCGCCCGCTGAGGAGGGCGAGGCCAGCCTGAGGGCTGTACAGAAGACAGAGCAAGAGAGTGAGCCCATGCGGCTGGACTCAGCCCTCTAGCAGGAGATCCTGCTCTCTCCATGGGGCTCAAGATTGGGGGACATTTAAGAGGCAGGTGGTGCTGCTTCCCAGAGAGGAGAATGTTTAAGAATTTCTTCCGGGGGGAGGGAGATCTTCAAACAGACCCTCGGGAGGCAGATATGGCTTTTGTCTTCTGAGAAAGAATGGCTTTGGCCCATTCAAAATGCCTTGTTATGCAAAGGTGGTGGCTGCGGGCAGAGGGGGGTCTGGGGTCCATTGGGGACATGGCCATGCTAAAAGGGGGTCACCAACCCACTCCTCAAGAGTATCCCAAGGATAGGAGAACGAGGGAAGGGGGAAGGAGGGCAAGGGGTCCCCTCGTGCCCTTCCCTGCAGAGAGCCCCCTGAGTGGCACAGAAGAGAGCTGGTTATGGGTTCAGATTTTCCCTTTTGAGGAAGAGGGGAGGCCTGGAAGTTGTAAAAGCAAGCCTCAAACTGGGCAGGCAGTCTGAGTCTGCAGGAGATGCTTGAGTGTCTGTCCGTGTGAAGGGGACTCTGTGCCTCTTCCTTCCTTCCTTCCTTCCTTCCTTCCTTCCTTCCTTCCTTCCTTCCTTCCTTCC